CTAATATTATAAAAATATCTTTGAATATGTTTAGGACGCGCAATAAACATTCCGTTAGACAGCTTCTGTCGATACAGCCTTCAATCAACACGATCTTATTTCACGTGACTTATTGACGCCAAATTATACAATGAAATTTAAACTAATACAAACTTTTCTATAAATAGTGATGCCTATAAGAAACAACAATAAGAGTATTTAAAATGTTTGTTTATGATTAATATATGTAGTGCTTTTAAAAGATTAATGTTAACTGTACCGTTCAAAATGTTGTTAGTCAGAAAAATGAAGTTCTGTTTAGTGCTATTTGGGTGTGGTACTTCCCTTTCCCTCGTAATCTTTGACTAGCTCTTTTTGATTTAAAACTAATCAGCCAAAAAAGTTCGTGTTTTGGGGGAATATACCAAAGCAATGATGTGGACTTCCGGGATGATTTAACCTATGTTAATCGAATCTGATAAACATGGTATTTTATAATTATATACTATTTTGTCTGCCCATAAAAAAACTCAGTTCTCACGTAGCCAAATTTGATTATCTGTACATCAATAGAACTCGATTTTAATCTAATTGAACCTATCAATTTCAAAAATAGAAAAATCTATTTATAAAATTATCTTAAAATTATGGAATTGTCAAAAAATAATATGCAGGACGTTTTTTTTTTTTTGTTTTTTGAAAAAGAAATTTCATATTAATAAAATTTAATAATAAATTTTAATAATTAACTGTAACCAAATGTAATTACTTATAATTTGTCCATAAAAATAAAATCATTTCGATATTTTGTAGAATATTAATATTTTACTTAAAGTAATTATAAGTTTCTAAAACTTTGAGTACTTTTGCAGTCTACAGTCTATCATTACTTACATTATTGTCAAGTAGACCTCATTTATAAGTATTCGACATAGTAAATCTAAAGTTTATTAAACTTAAATTATAAATACACAAATCATGCGTTGAAACTTTTCAACTATGCTTTATTTATTCATTGAATTAATCAATAATGCATACAATTCAGCCTTAAGTTCAGGTTAACATGTTTAACTATCAAAATAATTTTCGTATTAACGAACAGTATATAATTTTTTGTCCTAGTCAATGAATATTAAATCACATTATGTTAATAAATTATTTTCATGACCATTGCCTGTATTTAAATATTAATTTTTTTAACAGTTGACAAGGTAAATTCATTTATTTCATTTAACGAATCCGATATTATTTATTTTTATTTTACATGTACAAGACTTGCGCTAGGCATTAGACTGTATGTTCATAAAAGATATATTGTAGACGTTTTAATATGAACTGTCAAAACTATTTTAAACTAAAAAACAAGTTCCTAACCATATTAAAAATAAATAAATAAATAAAATTATTAATCTTTAAAGCGCATCGTCAAAATATGTATATTTTTAATTAAAAAAAAACATAAATAATATTATATATGATAATGTTAGCTTATTAAATTAATTATAAAACATTTATTGTTGTTTCGAAATATAATTTTAAGTGTTAATTTTCAATAATGAATTGTATCGGTGTTTTTTATTGGTTAATTTGTAATTAATAAAATTTTAACGATTTTTCATAGAATTCGCATAAAAATGGGCTCATTGAAAACATTAGTATTTGATTCTATGCAATCATTGTATTATAAAACATGAAATTATTAAACTATATGTTTCTGGATAAATATGCAGAATTTATATGAACATGGTTCGTGAAATACTTTGATGGTTTCGGAAAGATAATAACGACATGTTACTTAGCAAAACTATCTACTTGAAAAATATTTTAATTATTTTAATCAAACTTTTTCGAATCGAAAATTTTTATCGTATGATTTTAAAACTTAGATTTTGATTAAGTATAACGTTAAATAAACATAATTTGAAATTTCTCACGCTTAAAACATAGTTTTTCTAATAGTGACACGATTAATAGTTAAAAATTTTAACCGTGTTCACCGTTGTTTACAATCTAAGCTGGTTCATTAATGGTGTTGATTGGCATTTACAACACGCTTTTGTTTATGAAACAAAGGATAAATGTCGATGACTTTAATTTCTGTTATACAAATAATTAAAAAAAATTCTCTAAATAGTTGTATGTTAATCAAGTTATGAGTACAATACTGACTCAATAAAAGTTTTCAAACAAATAAACTACGGAACAGTGGTTATATTTTATTAAAAAACAAGCTATTATAAGAGTTTACCATTTAGTTTTTATTAAAAGTAAAGAATGAATAAATAGCTATATATATATATATCTCATCTATATAATTCCAAATAGCTTTTACAGAATGACGGAAACTTATAATAATATATATATTATGCATTTATTCATAAAATAATATCGTGAATCATTGAATTTATCTATAAAATTCCAATTCCAATATATTATTAACTTTGCGATATAGTTATTTTAAAAAATATAAGTAAATTTTCTTTACCCATTTATTCGGTCTAAATCTGTCAATATATTATTGTAGTATACAAGTAAAATGGACAATATTAATTTTCATGTTACTTAATATTAAGGAAGCTACTATTGTCTTATTTTTGTGTTGCAAAATAACGCCGCTGTTGTGGACATTTTTGTTTTGTTGTACGGCAGTACATTTATACAACAGCGAGTAGGGGCGCGTTAGAATGCATAATGCATATGAATTGATGAGATGGAGGGGAAGCAACAGAAGTTTGTATATTTCGTCTTGTGCAGCAGCAGCAGCAGTAACGACGTGCAATAGACTGGTAGACTAGGCCGATAAAAAAAGGGGTGGGCGGAACGCGATCGATCAACGAAATTCTTTTTTTCACGGTTCGTTGAAATTTCGTCGGCGACTGAATATTTTTTTTCGGTTACCCGCCGGACGCCGTCACTCTGGCCCTTTGTGTGTGTGTGTGTGTGTGTGTGTACAAGAACGGAAACATAATATTCACTAGCGGAGGGCAGAGACAGAGAGAGGGCGTAAAAATAAAAAGAGTGGAAGAGAGAAGATGATGCAAATTCGCCGGGAATTTTATCGACGTGGGCCTACGTCGCTCGCTATCGGCACCAGACGGCGGCTGCATTACTGTCGTGAGAGAAAGGGGCGGGCGGGGTCGACGAGACGACAAAGAAAAGTCCGACTAAATTCGGCAACCATGCTCAACCCCCAGCCAAATCACCGGCGAGACGGACCGCCACCGTCTGGTCTCGATTTAACGACTTCTCGAAAATAACAGGGGAATGGTGGGGAAGTAAATATTATATTGTTACAAAACTGTCATGACGCAAGAAGGGTGTATAATATTACGGTTGGATCGGTAGAGTCTCGAGGTAGGGATGCTGTCTAGAAAAACCAAAAAAGCTAATCGTTCCCTCTGAAAATGTACGATATGTGATAATTTTGTTGCCGTCCAACCCTTTTGTCTGTGTCGGAGGGTATAGACACGCACATATCCTAAATTGGTTAACGTTTCGTAAGACGACTCGGATTTTTTTTGGTCAGCGTACCAAGCGAATTTCCGTTGTTGAGGCGTTAAAAAACAAGTTGGCGCACGCGTGTGTGTAAGAAATTTTTTTTTCCCGAAAGAGGCCTTGAGTGTGCGTCGACTGCGACGGAGACGGTATTTTGGCATGGCCTGGATAGACCCAAAGTATTGATTATCTTCAACTTTTTTTTCGGTTGCTAAGTGATTATAACAAAAAAAAAAAAAAAATTTTGGCCAGGCGCAAAGGGGAACGTAAAAAAAGCGGACGTCCAACGGGCCGGGATCACACGCTGGTGGGTGGGGAAATCGAGGGCACCACCTTACATTTATATACATGTATATACTTTATACAATAACTACAAGCTTGCTGTTCGGGTGGGGAAGAATGCAACTACATGTTGCATCACGGCCGTCGACGCTGCCCGCCCGCCCGCCTACCGACGGAGCCGTGACGTCATCATTAGACGGTGTATCACATGCACACAATACATACATACACAATACATATTGCAAGCTGCATACACACATACACACGGGATCACCGCCGTCACACGGTGTGTTGTAACGCGCACCGTCCTCCGTCTCGCGCGTGTACCGCGTGTTCATTAAAATAATAACAATAACAGTCCGTTGACTTTTTGGTGTTTTCTACACACAATCAGTACGCTGACAACAGTGTTCGGTGCGCGATGCAATTGCAACGGCGCACGGCCGTCGGATGTGGCCGCTCTTGTCCAGCCAGCGACCGTCAAGCGGTCAGGAAACACTTGCGGCGATGGTCTCACAACATGGTCCTTGTAATCGGTAAGTGTTGTACGCCGTGTGTTAATGTAGAGACTGCCATTTCGGCGGCGTAGTAACCAACGCGTGTAGAGAGTGTGTGTATGTGATTTGGTCGACGCGACCTGCCTCAACGTCGTTTGCGTTGTTGCGCCGTCGTTGCCACCGCCACCGCCGCCGCAGTACTCGTTGCCGTTTGCAGTCTCGTTTCGGTTACGGGCAACCGAATCGATTATTTTCTTTTGCACTGTTCTTTTTTTCGTGTCGTTTGGGTCCTTGCTCGACGGAATCAGTAAAATAAAAGACCCGCGCGCGCACAGCGGTCATACCGTAGGCTGTTGCGGTGGGCACACGCGCGAATAAAAAAAAAAATACGCCGTACTGGGAGGGGAAGAAGTCGCAATGTAGGAAATGCACCGGCAAGGCGGAGCGTTGAACAAAAAGACGGGCGGACAGGGGGTGCCCTGGTCCCCTCTTCCCCTTTTGTCGCGTTTGAGCGGTTCGGCAGTCTTCGGCGTCGGACGTCTTCGGTGTTCTCTCGCCCTCCCCGCCACTTTTGATCGACCGATGGAGGGGCGGGGGGGGTTGGGGGNGTTTGAGCGGTTCGGCAGTCTTCGGCGTCGGACGTCTTCGGTGTTCTCTCCCCCCCCCCGCCACTTTTGATCGACCGATGGAGGGGCGGGCGGATTTGCGTGTGTGTGTGCGCGCACCGGGCGGCGACGGCGAAATGCAGTTTTTCGACAGCCTAATGCATGTTGCACATTTTGTTCTCCAAGGACGACGGCCCGACCAACCTAAATGAGCGGTCCTCTTGCATTCAGATGCACTGTGCTCGGATGCACTAACGGGCGGTCGCAACGGCAACAAAAATTGTTACTATCAATTTCTTAATATTTTATTTTTATTTCAATTTCAGTCGTTCATTAAATTATCACTGTTTATTCTCAGTGTGCGCTCGTCCGTGTTCGCGATTAGTTTCAGATTTAAACGCCATTGGAATTATTTTATTTGTCATTATTAATTATTTTTATTTTCTCACCCGAGTGGTTCGCGTATGTGCGTTATAAGCCGGTCGTCGATATTTGAAATTTTTTTTTTTTTTGGAAAAAAAAGAATTTTGGTGTTTATCCCAAAGCCAGACACCATTGGTCGCTTCGAAATTTGACTTTCTCATAAGGGCTCGAGAACGGTATGTTGATTTATTGATTTATTTTCTATCCGGGTTAAACATGATGTATTGTTTTTTTCTCTAACGCTTTTTGATTCATTACGACGTTGCATTGTTTTATAACGTGAAGTGTTTCGACCGACCGCTGTAACGAGTCCGTAAACATTTGATTTTCATTAAGTTATTATCAGCCATTGTTGACATTGCGTCTGAACTCTTCACTCGGTACCTACGCGTTTGAAATTTTATTTAAATTAAGGCAGTTTTAATTATTAAACGCAATTGAACAGTTTTCGTCTTATCACAGACTCGGTCGGTCGAACGGTCTAGTTTCAATTGCGATGCTAATAAACCATTATAATAATAACCGTCGTGAATAAAAAACGATAAATTGTTGCGAATTCTCGTTGGAAATTAACAATAAACAAATCCGATAGGAATTCGCATTGACTTTAACGTGCATTTTTTTTTTTTTTTATGCAAGCTAATAATTATTTTAACATGCACTATGGTCATGTAATGGACCGGTTTATACGTTTGATTTTTTTCAGTCTTTTAGATTTCTAATATTTTTAAAACACCCTTTTTCAATACTTGATTACATATGTGCTACAACCGCCGCGGGTTTGTTTTGAAACTGCAATTATACAAATGCACACCGCCTTCGGGTTTGTGATTTGCCGGTTGTTAAATCGAATTCAGTGACTTATTTACAGTGTAGATTTGTCATTTGAAAGTGTGTCGGTGCGAATGGCCAGTGCCGCTCCGGTTGGCAGGTCTTGCGCGAAAATGTATTTGTTTCGGGGGGCCGGCAAAGAATCGACTGAGCCTACAGCAGACAAAAACACTAAAAGTTTCTTACGACCCACACACGCGTAAACAGTATAGGGGCCCCTCCGTCTGTGCCACACAGTCGTCGCCGCCTACGAGACCGATCGATATATTTTTTCCGGCGGCTCAGCATTTCCTTTTTTTGTATTTAATTGTTATTAATTTTTTGAGCACCACTGATCCAAGTGACGTCACGGTTGGTATATATTCGTAGCGTTTTTGTTCGAGTTGGTATCAATGCTAATTTCGACAGTGGCGAGTGGTCTTCGTGACGAGGACCGCAAAAATTTAAAGCGAGACCCACTGGCTAAATAAAAATTAATTAATTCTAGAAAAAGAATCGCGTTTAACATAAACTACACATAAACAACCGAGCGGCATAGGAAAACTTACATTTTATATTTCATCAACGCACCTCAATAATGACGCGGTCAATTTAATATGATTTTGTGGAAATTATTCGCTAAATAACAAAATCCTAGATATTTGTTCACGCGTGTTCCTCGGTGGACGCCAAACTGATTAAAAATTTTAAAAAAACGGAATCAGACAACAAACGATAACCGATGTTTTTTTTTTTTACAAAGCGCACGCGGTTATCGCGAATAATGAAATATTGTAGTCTGCGCTTTAATATTATTATTTCAGTGTTGTTGACGTCCGAGGCGGTCTCTAGTTTATTATTATTATTATTATAAATAGCAGTATGGTCAATAGATTTTTCTCTGGCCGTTGACGAATTCGCCAAAAAGAGTTAATTATTTCAACTGTGACCGCTGTATTTTTAAAACTGACGGTATCTATGCGTTTAACCACAGCCAACATTAATTTATCGACAATTGCCCTTTCCCCACCAATTGAACATTATACACGTATAATTATTATCAGCATACGGCAATTGCATTACATTATTGCTGTTCTCTGTGTATATTTAATATTCATTTTTTTGGCTGTGTACGATTACGAGGTTGACCCTTTTAATGATGTTACAAAAAATTCGTTTAACGAAAAGATAGTAGGTTTCATACAAAACACTGCAGCTCGCCAATATGTAGCTAATTCTTATCTCTAAACGATGTAGAGAAAACTTTAAATAATGAACTACAGTGTAATTCGTCTAAATTTATTTTGTGGGTGTCTACAAAATTGCGATTTTAATCATTCGGTAATAAAAAAATGTCCGTCCGCTATGTTTTTTCTAACGAATTGCTAAAACCGTTGTGATCATCACAGAAAACATAAAACGTGAAATTGAATTTGATAAATGTAAAAAAAGTTTAATTAACTATTAATAAAGCGAAATGGCTCGTTTGCATTAGGCCAAAACAAGTTTACGTCCAATAGAAACCAATTATTATTCATGAGCAATTGTATTTAATTTTTTCATGCGGTTAAAAATAAACTATTGCACAACGTGGAAATCGCTGATTTTGCCAAATAAAATTTTATTAAAAAATTCGGCAAGAAACCGGTTTCTTACAAAAAACGCATCTGCGGAATTGTTTGTGCATCAAACCACAACCGATCGGGTGTGTAAATTTTAACACGAGACTTCATACGACCGAATGCTATCGACATTGAAATTGTTTTTTCCTGCGATCCAAATCAACAATTATAATTAGTCTTAAAGTTGTCGCGCTATTTCTTTTTTTACATTCTTATATTTATCGTAAACCCAATTAAATCGAATTCATTGGGCAGTGACACATTAAGGAAACTCATTAATCTATTTGAGTATTTTGTTTTTTTCATAATAATAATAAATAATCACAACTACGATTTTTACTGTCGTTTCATAATAACCTTCTTCGGAGTGTATGGACGCGAACGGTAAAAAAAAATTACTACAAAGCTTAACAAGAAAATAAAAAGTAATACGTTTGTTCTGTAAATGACATGCCTATGGCTCTGTCGATGGCTCATAACATATTATAATTACGACTTATATATAATTAGTCGTCGTTTGATTATTGTCATTATAATGTGAACGTCTTTGTTTCGACTCGAGATTCGGTCAATGGAACGAGCAAAACGTACACAGTTTTTTCTAGGGAATCGTGTTTTGTAAACGTTTCCATTATTCGCAACGTAAAGGCATCGAAAACAAATGGCTGAAATGCGAGCGAATTATTTCGAGTAAACTGCGCGATGACACTAAAAACTGAAATAATCGTCTAAAAATTGCCGTTACGATTTCCCCATAAAAAATAGTGACTCATTGTTTTCGCTAAAATTTTCGCTGCCTGTTATTTCGGTAAATTCAGAAGAATACAACATTAGTCGGTTTTTCGCGCCTACCGTTTTTTACTTTTTATTAAAAATTTATCGTCATCCAACTGCGCGTATACGTTCGCCCTTTGAAAACGTGCGCTAGGCTTGCCCGAGATTACAATGCCGTACGATTTTTTAGCGTCGTTATCGAAACCAATTCCAATTTGATTATCAACGTGATGGGCGACCAACTATTGTGCAGCGTTTCATTATTAATGCACTTACAGGCATAACGTTGAAATTCATCGTTGACTACATTTGTCAAAAAATGTGACTTTCGAAAGAACGTGTAGGTAATGCGCATTAAAAATTCTGATTTGTTTACCTACGACGCGCATGCTTAAATATTAAAACACCGTGTCCACCGTTAATGCTAACAAGGATTTTTTTATTGTTATCATTTAAGGCTGATGATTCCCCGGCGCCCGACTAGTTTTCTTGCAGAGATAATTCGTCAGTACTACCGAATGTCACACGACGACGTCCGTGATGATAAATCGGACAAAAAAAAAAAAAATTACTCCATCCAATTCACAGCGCTACAAACTATGCAAACACTTAGCAACTACCGTTGAACCCCAGGCCGGAGCGTTTAAGTTCAATACACTGTTATCGGCAGTGATTATTGTTTGGATATTTGAGTTGCACAAGAAAAACGTTATCGCGTTATTTTCACCGAAGAATGTTCTGCACTATGAGCGCTCGTACGCGCAGCATCGTTTTTAACAGCATAAAAAAGCCTAAATTTCTGCTCCGGTTGGAAGTTGGTTTGCGAAATTCGTTTCGATGTCGTTATCGATCACGTTCACGGCACACGCTAACTGATAAATCACTCGTATCAAATGCAGTAAATAGATCCGAACAAACATCAAAATAATAAAACAAATAAAACGACAACAATCGCACCGACCAGCGAAACATTTCAAAGGCGGTCAACTGAGGCAATCAACAACTATCGCCGCGCTGGTTAATCATCTACGACATTTCGAGATCCCAGTCAATAAAAAACGTCATCCGTCGAGCTGTCCTGCTGAAAACTTTGCAGTGTGCATCGCTCGTCTCCTCTGTGTGTGCGCGCGCGATAACGCGTTTTACATTTTTTACTCGTTTTACATTAGAGAAATTCGTTATCGACCGGTAACCCAAAACGAGTGCGGATAACGACGACGTTATAGTCATAATTAAAATATTATAATAACTATAACGTTACCGGCGTTGTTCGACAGCTCAAGTGATACACGAATCGATCCGATAGGAAAAAAAAAAGTGCCCGTCGCTTGCCTACGATTTTATACCTTTGTTTGATTTATTTTTACCGTGGTTCTTTTTATCGTCATAGAATATTTTTCCATCGCAGGTGTATCGGGTTACACGCGAAATAACGTCAACCGTAGGATAGTGTTGGAATTTCATAATATATTTCCACTGTTTAATAATACAAGCAGAGATAATTGTCGGGAACATCATGCGCTGGAACATTGCTGGCAATCGTGTCGCCGCAGTGACTCCATTAGGTAATTTAGAACGTCTACAGCGGTTTTAATGGTCGCTGTGGTCTTAAGTGTTTACTGTAAAATGATATCCTGTCAACGGCCGGGCGATGCACATTTGCGCGTTGCTAACCTAATGCGGTTCACGAAAAAATGGCACAGGGTAAGGTTCAAACGGAGCAGATAAAAGAGTGTTGTGTTCTGTTGGCAACCGAAAATAAAAAGTCGACTGCAAGAATTTTATCGTTGAAAATTGTACTTGTTTTTTGCCAGCGCAGACAATTCAAAGGTTATATTTTAGCCGAATTATTTTTTTAGTTGATAGCGCGTACCCGTTGCACACGCAACAGCTATTTTTCCGTTTTTAATTAGTCTCGTGGCAAAAGGTTAAAGAATTCATTACTAGACGTAAACGTTATACTTTTAGAC